CATAAATGCACTTAAAGAACGGTATATAATAAGCGATGCTATTTTTTTGACAGAGGTAGAACAGTCCGCGCCAGCACACTAGTGACAGAGGTGTAACGATGCGTCTAATCACGGCAGGCAGTCAGCCGATTTACGAGAATCTCTCCTTATTTTTTTTTTCAAATGCAAATATAATTAAGTGGCTCATCTTTATTTCAAAGGATTCATGTGTATCACAATAAAATTGCCAAATTTCCTTTTTTTTTCTATGAGCGTTTGCATACCTACATACGACAATCACGTCCCGCCTTCCATTATTATTTGTAAACAGTCAGTGCCCAGAAATCTTGTTCGTAGATTTAATGACAGTTCTCCATTTTTTTTCTTCGATTCCTCATAATTCATCAATGTACATAAATAATTAAGCTACACTGTTGTCTGTAAAACAGATAACGGCTACGCATAATAGGGACTCTCTATCTAATAGACATAAAAAACAAGTTTGTTTTTGATTGTCTCAAAACGATTTCGCGTTGTAATGCGTTTATCTAATTGTCACAACTTTTAAACATTATACATTTTTATATATTATACATATTAAAGAATATGTACAGTTGTTATGGAATAAATATTTAAAACATAAATATAATATATTTTTTTACAAAAAAATTGAACATGTCTATTAACAATGTTCTTTGTCGTCGGATATCCGTATAATCAATAAATAATCCCATAATTAATTATTATGTTTGCTGTTATATTAACCATTCTGTAATATCATATATTCTCTGATATGTAATTCGATTTGGCAACAAAAATTTCGCCGGTCACGATACATCCAAGTGGGTAGATTCAGAAACGTTAATTCAATATATATTCCTAGCAGCACCAACTTGACTAATGTTTTAGGTTCCAAATTTAAAAATATTTAATAAATTAAAACATTTTTATTCACTTTTTACGATTATTCAGTGTTTAGGAAATAGGAAATAGACTAATTTTGTACGTTTATAAAAGTTTTAACGATAATTTATTGTGAAATAATAATAATATTATTATTTATAAAAAAACTGTAAGTTTAAAAATTTTAGAAAAATTCTCCCAGTATAACAATGACAGAGATCGCATAGAACAATTTTGAAAAAAATCTGATGAAAGATAACTTTTTTACATACTTGAATTTTTGAACAAAACATTTTTTTTCTCAAAAACGGCTTACCAGATTTTTTTCAAAATTTGTCCATTAGTTACTTATTTGATGAGTAAGTAAGGTGAATTTTTTGAAAATTTTTGAACATAAGAATAATTTTTTGGTAGGGTAAGATAAACCTTAAACGATTATAATAAAGATTACCCGTTATTTATTGTATTCTTTTTAAACAGAAATGGATAAATAAATTACCTACAATATGTACAAAAATATAATTTATTAAACTTATGTATTATATATTGTTCAGATGTTTCTATTATTAATATGTAATTAAAAAACAATTCCTTTAATATGCAAATCATTGTTTTTTTTTCAATCCCAATAGTTTTGAGAAATCTATACAAACTCCACAAAAGTAAATGCCTGGACTATACCAATATCTTACCATAAAAAAACCTTTTTAAAAGACTCGATTAACCGTAGTTATAATAAGCAATTGTGAAACAAATATAAAGAAAACGACAAAACTTATTTTTATTTGAATTCATTATAAATATATAACACTGTTGCAAAAAAAATTTGCCGGCTTCATAATATCATTTATTTCTTGTTCATCAAAAATAAACTTCAATTTGAACTATTTCAAAATTTAGAGATTTCACACAAAAAAGCCATCATTATGTTTCTTAGCAAGCAACATTTGCAGTTGAATATGGAAGTATAATTTTCTGGTCACTTTGCACTGGATATAAATCTATTCACTCTTATTAGATTAGATTTAATTAGGACTATGGGCCATGTGGCCTCCCCCACCTCGACCTTTTCAGATCTATTGTGGATATCCTTTAATCATTGTTTAGAGTACCCTGTCTAATGCGGTCTTTTGTAGTAGACTCCATAGACTGGGAAGTAGTTCTCCGGTATAGCTAGTTGCCCTTGGTTTTTCTTCTCCAAGTGTAAGGAATCTCAGTCTTACTAGACCTTCGCAGTAGCACAATACGTGTTCTGCCGTTTCCTCTTCTTCTTGACAGAATCGGCACAAGGCCTCTTCTGTCAGACCGATATTGAACATATGTTTGTTAAGCCTACAATGCCCTATTAATAGACCTACTAGTATTCTAGTATTTTTCCTATTAAGGCTTAGTAGATGCTCGGTGAGTTTAGACGATGGTCCCTTTAAGAACTTTTTGGCCTGTCTCTGTCCTGGTGAGTTTTCCCACCACTCCTGAGATTTTTTAAACATCCACTGCTTTGTGCATGTTCTAATAGTTGTTTTTGTTACACCACAGAAGGGTTCTGGGCCAATAAGAGCATTTGAAGCTCCTTCTCGGGCTAGTAAATCAGCCTCTTCATTGCCTTTGTGTCCCCTGTGGCCTGGCACCCAGGCTAAGGTTAGTCTGTTTTGACTACCCAGCTCTGTTAGGGCTTCCAAACAGTCCCACACAAGCTTTGAGTGTACCTGCATGGAACTGAGTGCTTTTAACGTCGCTTGACTGTCTGAGTATATGACAATGGCTTTTCCATTTACCTTCTGTCTTAATACTTCTTTTGCGCAGTGATGTATTGCTGCTATTTCTGCCTGGAATACTGTCGCATATTTATCTAAGCTCAGTGAGATTCCTGTCTTTGGCTTGGTACTATATATACCTACTCCTGAACCTTCATGGGTTTTGGAGCCGTCTGTATACCAGGTGAGATCTGCATGAATAGGAGGTCCTCCCGTCCACGCTTCCCTGTCTGGTATACTTACCTTATATTGCTTTTGAAAGCTATACTTTGGAAGCATTTCGTCTGAAGGCATTCCCATTATTTGGTCGTTCTCCAACTCTTTATATAGCTCGCTGTAGTCGCGTCCATGCAAACTTCTTATGGGCGATGAACCTTTGTGCAGTCTGTATGTGACAGACCTGGCTTCGCCTTGAATGAATATATGTAGTGGTGTTAGGTTTAGCATGACTTCTATAGCTGCTGTTGGAGTCGTTCTCATAGCTCCCGTGGTACTCAGACATGCTTGCCTTTGAATACCATTGAGCTGTCGAATGGCTCCAGCTTGCCGAGTCTTTGGCCACCAAACCTACGACCCGTAGGTTATCATCGGCCTTATGACTCTGGTATATAACCACAGGGACATTTTTGGTTTTAATCCCCAATTTTTTCCACACAGTCTTCGACATAAGTTGAAGGACGTTGTGTTCTTTTGGGTGACTTTTTGCAAGTGTTGATTCCATGTTAACCTGTGGTCAAAGATGACTCCCAAGTATTTGGCCTCTTGAGCGAATGGAATCTTCACTCCTTTCAGTACTGGTGACTTTAGTCCTGTTGGTACTTTTCGTTTTGTCTTTTCACTCTTATTATGTATAAAAAGCACACATTTAATGTTTTTAATTCGAAGAAGAATCAACACCCTCAAATTATTAGAATTTCAAACTTTTGACAACAGTGGCCTTTTCTAATAACACTATGTTGATATGATGGAAGGTTATTCCCTTCGATGGTGTTCAGAAGCCACAAACAAGAAAGCCGCACTATGTTTGCACCCATCTTAAAAAAAATTGTTAAAAAGCTTCATTTAAATGATGTAAAATCATTTTCATTCCGTCATTTTTCAAATATAAAATTATTGACTTCAAAGAAATCAAAGTATCAGTCAAATCACCATTTTCATTACACTTTCCGCAACTCGATCTGTCTTATCGCAAAATAGTGTTTATGTAGTCTCTAATTTATTCTATTTTGATGACTGTGGGTGAAGGAAGTAGAGGGGGAGGTGGATCGAAAATCTCCGGAACTCAAAGGCGTGCGACGTTCGGGTCTAATTTGGAAAAAAAAAGTTTTGTAACTTTTTTTATATGGAAGAGGGGTAGGGGATCAAAGGGGTTGAAACTTTTTTCGTCCTAAAATTCAATCCATCGTACCCGAAGTTCATTTTTCTAAGTCTAGAAGTTTTATATATTGAACCTCCCTGAGGTGGGCGGTTATAAATCGTTTCAGACGTAGCATATGACCCAGCTTTTAGTTATTTTCTATCCCTTACCATATTAAGGTGTAACAGAGAAAAAAGGGGGAAGTTGGAGTATTTTTTTTCCTTTTTCACAATCCTCTATCCGTCCATGTAAGATTGTCTATATTGGTTCGAAATTAAAGGGTGCTCATATTCTCTATAGCCTAATTTTATTAGACAATCAGTTCATAATTAGTGTGGATCAATGGATTTCATATATCGAACTATTTACAATTTTTTATGGACAAAATTAAGGCTCCTCAATAGCTACTACACAAAGTTTAAGAAAATTGGTTCACAAACAGAAAATGGTACTGAACCATTTTGTCTTTGCCTATTTATATATAAATATAAAATTTAAAAACCAAGTAAAAAAAACCTAAAACATTGCTTTTATTCGGAAGCGGAGTATTTAAAGTTCTTTCACTTAGAAGGGATTAACTGCTGACTTACCTAAAATTGTTGGATAATTTGAAACAAACATAAATATATATTTTTGTAAAATATGAATGTCTATACTCTGTCGGCGCAATTTGTAATTTATTTTTAGATGTTGAGATGTCAAAATTTTATTAAATTGTATTTTTGATGAAATAAATCTAATCTAACCTACTGTAAAATTTCCCATAAAGTTTTGAACATTTTAAAGGTATGACACAAGCTTTCCCACATTTTCCTAAATGACATTTCTAGACGTTTTAAATGATTGACAGACATATATGTTGATATTTTTCAAAGTATGTCAATCCAATGACAGTCACAACCAAATAGTTAAACATTGACAAAAAACCCAGGGAATATAAATGGGCGGAACTTCAAATTAGAACAGGAAAAGACAGTGTACATTTCATTAATATAAGATTTACTAACCTTTGAGTTTGGCCCAAACCAAAATATGAGGCTTCGGACAAACTTCAACAAACCAAGTGGATTTGTTAGTATTAGCTTTCAAATAACAACTGGGACAATTTTCTATCTCCATCATTTCTTGTTTGCATATTTTAATCATGGTTTTTGCCGATGAAGTCAGTTTAGATTGATCTGAAACAAATGAATATTTAATAATATGACCATAACAAAAGAATTTAATATAATTACAAGAATTAAATATGATGCTATTGTGTAGTAACCATTTAGCATCGGCTTCAAACGCTTGAGTACTTCCATATATGTTATCTTTGATGTTTTTCTCCAACATTGTTAAATCCATAGGTTCGATGATGTATTTTTTGTATTCAGGAAATTCTTTAATATTAACTGGGTGTAAAAAGGGTTCAGACTGCAAAAAAAAGCATTACATAATATATTATTGATTTCAGAAAATAATTGTAGTTCCTACCCCATGACACTGGATCATTCTATTGACTGCAAACTTAAGTAAGCTGCACAAGTGTTCCAACGTCATACCTTTCATAGCTGGAGACCTGCATTAAAAATTCTCGATGTACAAAAATTATCTCTAAAACATAGAACATAAACCATGCAAAATATATACATTACCTTGTTTGTGTGCTCTCTGCTTTTAAGATGGCAACGCATTCGGGGCAAGGCCAATGCGAAGCGTCTGTGATGGTTTGTTTTAAGCATTTTTGATGATAGGATCTGGGGCAGGTTTCGCAAGCGATGTTCACACCTTCGCGATGGCAGCGCCAACAAAATATATCTTTGTTGGGCTAAAAAGCAAAATTATTTAATTAAAACCATATATTTGTAGAATTTAAATGGTAATAATTATAATAAAAAATAAATAAATGTAAAACCTAACTTTAAGCACAGATTATTGAACGTTGTATTAAATGATGATGTTAAAACGTATAAAAATTTTTTCGGACCAAACCAAGATGCAAAGGGATAATTTCAAGAGAACTAAACAACAAGTAGATGAAATGGTGGTTCAAGGTGACAATAAAAATATTATATACATTACTGGTATACCTACCATTGTTGATGCAAATCCGGCAAAAAAATAAGAAATGAAAGGCCTATTTCTTATACAACTGTGACAATAAATTTATTTATTTATTTACGGACAAGCCCATTTCACTTACAAATTACAATTTAAAAAATTAATTTTAATTGTAGCACATTATACATGTCATATAAACTAGGAACATTTAAAATAACGAAATAGATTAGTTGAAGGTTAAAAAAGAGATAATACACAGTAAAAAATTAGCATTAAAGCTCAGTATTAAATAATTGAGTTTTGAATGATGAAAAGGGAATATTGAATAGCCTGAGATCGTTGTGCAAGTTAGCTAATCTAAGCATTCTTGGAATGCAGCTGTTAAAAGCTTGGTTTGATCTGTAAAAAGGTTTAGAAAATGTTTGCAGTTGGCTAATTGAATGGGTTTGAACAAGAATATTTGTTCAAGAAGTTCAGGTCAATTAAATCTACTATTTACAATATTAAATAGCAAAGTAAGGTCTCTGTTTTCACCTAGTTTTCAAGGAGAGGGATGTTCGGAAACTTTCATGCAATCATATTCACAATAAACACGCAATTTACATTGTCTATTTTCCTACTATATGTTATATCTTGTGAAGACTAAATGAAAGAAAAACAGTCAAGGTGGGGTCTATCGAACAATAAAGAACTTTAATTGCAATTGTATCAGTAAAATCGTGGATCAACCTTTTGATAAAAGCCAATATTTTCACGGAATTGTGGACAGTAGCAAATATGTGTTGATTAAAGCTTAGAGTGGGATCAAGAATAATTTAAAGGTCTTTAATTTGATAAACAGAGTCCAAGATAGAGATTCTTAAAGTGGTCGATACCAACCCCTTGGGGTATAGATGAAATAGATGGAACAATATTGTCTTTTATTGCTGAAGATATTAGTGTACCTATGTCCTACCTTATAAATGAGTCTTTTTATGAGATGACTATCCTAGCATATTAAAAAAATCAAAATCCATTCCTATATATAAAAATAAAGGTTCTGTAAATGACATGGCAAACTTTAGGAACATCTGCATTCAAAGTGAGCTGAGACTTTGACTCAATTGACCATCGACTGCTAGTAGATAAATTGTACTGAATAGGTATAAGGGGCCCGCCAAATAAGTGGATACAGTCATATATAAACAACTGTGAACAAGTTGTAACCATCAGATGCAGTAAATCAAATAGCCGAAATGTGACAACAGGAGTACCGCAGGGCTCAATATTGGGCCCTGTTTTATTTTAGTTTTTATTAATGACTTAGCTCTATATTGTACAAGTCAAAGTACCAAAATTATATATGCATATGACACAACTTTTGGAACATCAGCAAAAAATGCACCTGAACTTCAATATTTTGCTAATAGTGCTGCACATGAATTTTATAGTTCTTGTTCTTGCTTAAATGTTAATGTAAAAAAAAATGAAATCATGACCTTTCTACCAAAAAATATATCAAACGATTTCAGCTATCTCGTTAAACTAAATCATTGATACAAACAAATCCAAGCAAATTCTTAGGTCTAATTCTGGACAGCAAGTGATCGTGGAAGAACCATGTAGATCATGTATCAAATAAACTAAGTAGTGTATGTTTTCTAATGAGGCAGTTAAAAAAAAAAGTTGATAAGATGCATGGCTGGAGCTTCAAGAACAACTAGCTGCAAACAAACTTTTTCATGACTTTAAAATCCTAACACTTCCATCTTTGTATATATATATACTTACTAATACTTAATATAAAAAATAGGAATCCCAACTATCAGATTATCGACACTCACACAATTATAACACATGCAATCACAAATATCTACAGCAGTCTCTCTCTAGACTCTCAGTTGGACAGAATTCCGAAATCTACAGAGGTGTCGCATGTTTTAATAGATATACTCAATGGTAATGAAAAAATCTTTAATGTATTCAAAAATAAGCTTTATGCATATATTTTGTCCAAAACATATTATTCCTATGCATAATTTATGAATGATACTCGGTGAACTGTAATGGTATCTCTTTATTATAATTATTGTCTAATGTTTTTGCCCTATTATATACTATTTTTAATTTGTACTTTATTTTAAACTCAATTGTAGCATGTTTCTACTTTTTAAAATTGTATGTGTTGACAAGGCTAATAGGTCTTATATGTTTATACATTTTTTAACCTTTTTAAATAAAAATAAACTTAATACTAAAAAAAAAAACGAAAGCAATGATTTTGGGAAGTAAATATAAATTAAATCAAATAAACTATAATAGATACAACATTAGAATTGAAAACGAGAATGTTGAATGGGTTAATGAATTTAAATACTTGGGATTCATTTTAGATGAAAATCTATTATTGAAACCTCACTGCGAATATGTATGCAAAAAAATATCAAAAAAGCTATTTTTATTCTCAAGGATTGCTTCAAATATCTCCCTTTTTTCTAGATTAACAGTATATAAAACTATTATACAACCTCATTTTGACTACTGTGGATCATTACTTTATAAATTGGATAATAGCTGTTTACAAAGACTATAAAACTTGCAAAATAGAGGAATGAGAATAATCCTTCGATGTAACAGATACACACCAATAAATGGTATGCTGACAACTTTAAGTTGGATTTCAGTCAGACAAAGATTTTATTATTTAGCAATGACTTTTGTTTATAAAGCAAAAAATAAAAAACTTCCTGAGTACTTCAATGATTTTATCATCAACAATAATGAAATACATAACTACGGTACAAGATCTGTTAATAATTTTTATATTCCACAAACAAGACTAGCTATAGCAACAAAATCTATTTTTATATGTGGATTACGTGAATTTAATACTTTGCCTAGTAAAATTAAAACGAGTACCTTTCTACCTCAGTTTAAAAAATGTTTAATACAATTTATTTCCAGTCCGTAAATTAAATTAACTGATTTAACTTTGTAACTTTACTTTATGTTTACTTTAATATGTATTTATTTTATTTTAACTTTAGTACTAAACGTCTTACTTTTATTACTGATTTTATTACTAATTCTATCAAGATTTTATTTTATTTATTCAACTAAATTTGCAGATTGATATGTAATATTTTTAAAAAAACTACTATGTATTAGGACTTCCTATATTAAATAAAGATTATTTATTATTATATGTTGTTAGATTTGTGACTTTGGTGAATAACATTATTTATAGTTTTCCACAGCTTTGAAGGGTTATGATCAGTTTTTTCTATCAAATTTCTATTAGCAACATTAATACATTATCCTGCATTGTGGAACATTGCTGAAAAATACCTTACGCTTTTCCATCATCATACCTAGTCGAAAATAGTTTGGGAATTCCTGGTATAGAGGAATACCAGACCTGCATATAGAGGATTGAGACTTTACCCTTGATTCTTAATGATTTGGAATTGATTTTGATTTTGTTTTAATTGTTCAATAATTTTTTTTTCCTTTTAAACTATTTTATAATTTTTTAATAGGTACTTTTTTGTAATTTTATTGATGAGCAAAATAAAGATTGTTATTTTATTTCTGTTGATATGATATCCAGATTATAAAAATCACCAAGCATTACCATTTAAATTATGGTGGGTGAGGTTTTCCTCACCTGTAAGTCAAATGGCACCATAATTCATCTTTAAGTTCGCCTGAACGCCACAGCATATAATAATAATAGCCATCCCTTTCTCTACACAAGTCACTCACTTGTCTTCAGGGGATACAATTCAGTCGTAAGGGGATGAATTAGAGGGATTATTATTTATAAATTTTAATAGTATATATCAGATTCTTTCACTAAGATGTTCTAATGCTAAACATTACATTTACTCATACAAATGAAGGTAGTAATATACAGTATCGACAGCAAACTTACTACTTACTGCACAAGTGATTGTAAAAGCTACAGACAGTTAGCATTAGAGTGAGCAGGAAACGGATCATATCAGTGATCCCAGTTTATATGGTCCTGCCAAAGTTACAACAGGGTTGGGCCTTATAACCTTGCAATGTAGATATTATTCGTTTCTAGCCTTCTCTTTTCTGTAATTTTCACATGCACTTGTGAAAAGTATATTAGAAAAGGTTCAGTGGCCAACACTATATATTTAATTGTATAAATAATGCACCAATAAATCATTTTTTTAAATCTATTGATATTGTAACATTTAAGTATAACAATATCATTCAATAGGTTTGATCCAACAACGATCAGAAACCAATCATTGACACCAGGATTTTGCACAGTAGACTATTTGGACCCCCAAATTATATATTGCCCATTGCACAGTGATTTGTTTCTGATCAATGCTGGAACAGACCTATTATTGAATGGAATGCCCAAATAATAATAACACAAAGTATTGGAATTGTTTTATGTGTTCGTGAATAATAAAATTTATTTTACACACAGATGCTATCAAAATAATTATGATTTAAAGAAATATAACCAGCCACAAGTTTTTGTCAAAAAAAAACAAGTATATTCTTTAATAACAGAGCAGTATCAGCAAATATTAATGAATTATTGATTTTGTTATGAATGTTTCACAGTGTTTTTAATAAAATGAACTGCAAATAGGGTTTTGATAACAATATTATCAGCATGTAGTTAAAAACTTGTTATTAAACATACATTTTTAAAGTGACAGAGTAACTTTCTCCTTTTATAGAACAAGTTCTTATCAATAAATCTAAGTTAGTAAAAATAGTTACCATTTTTGTTTGCAAACCAGTATTTCAAAAATGTAGCAAATTTACAATTTCTATTATCAGTAATGTCAGTAGTAGATTATTATAGTTTTAATAGTGACATTTAATGACAAATATCCTAAAATTAGATGTAGCTTGAAGGACAAAAGGATATCTTTGATGAAAAATGATATCTAAATATTATTTGCAAGTTAACATACCTATCATGATTATTATTTTTTACAGTGTATAACTATTTAATATTCCAATTGATGTATTAAGACTTTTATTTGTAGATTTGTGATTCTGTTATTTTTTATAGATCAACAAATTATTTTTTACTGTATATTAATTTATAAATAGTTTTAAATTGGGAATTTTTTGGAAGTAATAAACAGCAAATAGATTTATGATTGACCAAAATCGACAAGAGACTATCTTAAAAGGTATTTTGGTACTAAATATAAAATTATAGTGAGATATGTCTTATCATGAACAACCTGGTCAACCACAAGTTTTTTCAGATACTATTTATGGAACAAAAGTGCTATAGTTTTATTTCTAGAGGCTTTTAACCTGGCAAATATAAAAAAATATAGTCATTAATAAACTATAACACCAATAAACACAATAATGCTAAGTATACAATTCCAACTGATAAATAATCAAAACACTTACCTTAAATACTTTATATTCACGAGCCTTCTTATTCCGTTTACCGAATTCTTCTGAATCAGCAGCACTACCGGAATTCTCACTTAAACTATTCCGTTTCCTTTTGAAAATTTTTAAAGTCTCATTTTGAAATTTATTCTCCTGTTCTGGAAGTTCATCTAACTCAGCCTCTGCTGTAACTGGAAACTTAAAATGCTTATTTTCAGAAGCCAGTTTGACTGATTTCTTGGAATCAGCTTCCAATGAAAAACTACGGGCAGCCTCTTTCTTGCGCTTGTGAGATATGTTAGTCTTTAGATTGGCTTCCTTCGACAGAGCTAGTAAGGATTTAAGTTCTCTTGATATATTTGACGATTGGTCAAAGTCATCACATTGTTTGTCATTGTCAGTGGCTTCTTGATTATCTGTAATGTCTGAATGAGGTTCAATCGAACTGTCATTTTGATGGATAGATGTAGAACTATCTTGTGGGTTTGTGTTGTCAGAGTTTGAATTTTTAGTAGCATCCACAGTGTTGGGGGTTTCTTGATCACACATTTTGAGACTATAAAGAGTATTACCATTAGAAATATGTATAAATCAGGTAGGTATGTGTTGAAAACCATTCACATTTGGGATTATTGCAAGGCATATGTTACCTACATTTAATAAAATACTAACTAGTTATATAACCTAGTAAAATTGAGGTTTCACATTTAAATTCAAGTAACACTTGTGAACTAACATACTGAATCATTTGGAAGTAAAAATGTATCATGTAAGTAATACATTTGTTTAAAAAACAGGTCAAAAGTGTTGTGAGAAAAAAAAGAAAGAATTAAGTAAAATGTTTATATGTAGTTGTGTTATATATTCTTGATTAGATAAGGAATACTATCTAGCAAGTAAAAAATAGAAGCTGAATTTATAGCACTTTCATAAGGTTATCTAAAAGACTTGCTTCGAGATTTCAGTTCGAATTACTTTTGAAGTTCATACAAATTTGATACAAAAGTTTATATAGCCAAGGATTATATTAATAAAGGAGAAGTTATGATACAACAAGATATTGTTAGTGCACCAGTTTCATTAAACCTTTGTGACTGAAGGTACAGAGCAATTTAGGTACAACTTGGAAGAGTTTAATAAGTAGGGGTGTTGGATATTATACCTATTTGAGAATGGGTATTGGAAGGTATGTTGGATTCAATGTTTGCATTTCTACTTACTTACACCTATATCTTGTAAAAATGTCAATTTAGTTCCTTTAATATTGTCAATTTTAATAAGGAAGTAAAAATTTCAATGTACCTATTATTTTTAATAGACGTTCTTCAGTATGTACTTACAGTTTTATTTCGTATCTAAATGATCCATAATTGTTTGCATAAGTAGTTAAATATGGTGTATTATTAGATATAGCCTTTTCGTACGGCGTATATGTCTTGCTTGTAGGCTTTTATGTAGCTCTAGCGGTGAAATTTCGCATCTTTTTCCTATAACACTGCACAACACACTATCCTTTTTATATTTGATTATTTTATATAATATCTTAACCTTTATTGTGAATGGACATTTACGAACCTTTTCCTTTTCAAGTAAAAATATTAGGGATAAAATATTTCTCGAATAATAACTCGTTATAAATTGCCGTATAGAATAATTAACCAGACCACACCATACAATTTTTCTGTTTATTAACCTTTTACCGGTAGATGTCGTCTTGAAGTGACTTGGCAACACTGAAGTTAAGTTTACTTCACTTTGGTGAACATTTATACGAACAGCGGAGGAACGGTGTTTACAGTGTTGCTGATAGGAAAATTTACAATGATTTTGTAAGCTGTTGTAACTAGGTATAGGCAACTCTTATTACACTTCTGAATAAGCGCATCGTGTTTAGAAAAAACATATAAATTTAACTAGTTTTCTTGATGGACTCACACACAAATTTATTAAATGAACTTCTCCCCTCAGCTAATAATAATAATAAAGTATTTAATAATAAAAAATGACTTTGTTTACATTACACGTTTATATTTACATGTATATCTGAAGGGCGAGATTTAATCTAGGATAGGGGACCATAAGTAGAGCAAGGACAGAATTTGTAAAGGGTTTTCTCAGTTCTCCCACTTCATTTGACAGTTTTACCTCAGTTTTGCCTCAGATGAATAAGTAAATTATGTATATTTTATTTGAGAGTTAACCGAAGTGAACGCGAAATATTTCGCGTAAATAGTTTAATAAATAACGAATAGCTGTTGAAATTTTGTAGAATTATTATTTGGTACATTATTAATTGCTTAAATAATTATTCCTAGTCCATAAATGGAAAAGATTGCCGGCAATAATTTAAAACGTTTGGTATTATTTTTATTCTATAAAACGACATCGACGAACACACATTACCGCGACAGGGTTTGACGTTTACCGCATCTCATCTCCACCTACCAAATGCTTTTCCAATTTATCTCCCTGCTCCACAGCACTTCGCTGTACGTACAGCATTTTCAAAGTCTGTCCAGCATTTGATCTTGTATAGCAAACGTATAGCGAAACGTCGTATTTGTCCAGTAAAACGATATATTTGTCGAGCAAAACAGCATTATTGTCCAGCAATGTATATAATTTACTGAAACGTAATAGATAAGACAAAAAAGCAATGGGGAACTAAAAACAAAAGACTGTCCTCTACAGGACTTCTTTGTTTTTGTATTTTTCTAAAATAAAGGTCATCAATACGAATATTAACTGTTTTGGGAGCGCTAAAACTGTGAATCCGAACTTAAATTTTCAGGGGAAGGACTCCATATAGTTATGTGTCAACCCCTCTTTAAACAGGCTTTATACAACTCCTAACAAGCTTAAATTGGGCACCAGATTATAAATCAAGAAAGTTTTTTAGTTCCCTTATAAATGCTTTATTAATGTGCGGCAAAATATAATAAATCTATTTTGTAGATACTTACAAGGGTTTAATAAAGCAATCTCAAATAGTATTTTAAAGACAAATTTATAGTTACCGTATTTGGAACCAATTTGGAACCGTAAACACTTTGGTGCTACATTTATAAGAACCTTTATTCGGAACCTTTAAATAGCAATAAGACTTTATTGGTATGGCGTGAAACAGGTTTTACAAAGAAAAAACGTTTTATTTATGTTCTCCAAAAATAAAATTGTTGTGAATTCTTTAGATCAGTGCAATGTCTAAATTTATAAAGGTTTCAGTCGATATGGCGTCTTGCAATATACTTTAGTTATGGGACATAACAAAAAAATAAAAAAATATATTGCCTTTTTGTTTAACCCTGATGCAAATTTTACGAGGTTCACTTTAATGTGAAAGTCTATACTATTTTGTGTCGATTTTTTCACTCCCACACCCTAAAAATTCAATTGAACGTTAAAAATAAAAATAAATTTTTATGTAAGTAAAAATGTATTAATAAAAGAAACATTAGATTAAATTATTCTTACTAATAAGCAATAATTAAGTATCTGGTGTTTACAGACCATTATCACATTATTTCACCAAAAAATTTTCTTTTTAATTTTTGACCTTCATGTATTTTACATTTGGCGAAGGTTTTAGTTGCACAAAAAGCATTTATAAATCATTTATGCTTTAAAAACTGCAACAAAGCAATTTGCCTAACTTTTCTATAATTTACAAGAATTGATTGCCAATTGTCTACGAGGGTACTTTCAAATGTGGTATACCTAATCCTGTACCTACTATTTAACATAATTTAATAATAATTATACCAGACTTAAAGAACTAATAGTTTCTATTGCAGTCAAAATATTACTGTAGAGAATAAACCACGACGAATCAAATACAAAATAACTTAGATGCATTTTGCCAAATTATAAAGTCGATAAAAATATAGTAAAAATCGATTCAACTTTAAAATATTAGGTTACCAAATTTTATTGGTTACGTACACACAACCAAAACTCTAACTGGCACAGAATAAAAAATTGGACACAATTAAGCCAAAGGCATGGGCATGTGCATTTTTACAATTTTTTTATTTTTTTTTTTTTAGGACCATTTGTCTCTAAAAGATATTGTGAACGTTTCTAGTTGTATTAAGAAATGCCCGTCAGAATTCTTACTGTTATGAAATTCCTAATCCGACCCTGTGTACGCACGCAACCTTCACATGGCAACCGACTCGTGATCGAAGCAACGCTGACGTGTGGAAACAGCCGGCCCGCGTCTGGAATATACAAGAATACGACGGAATGCCTGCCGCAGATGTACTAGAAACAGCTGGAACGGCGGGGAGTGCCGTTTAGTCATAGAAGTGGAATCTTCGAGAGCCTCTAGCATTTTCCAGTAGAAGAGTTGAACTAATATAAATAGCCGACGTATCAGCGCCGAGTTTAGTTTTAGTATAGAATATTGGAATGAAAAGTTAAAGTGTAATAAATAAATTAGAATTGTTAGTTACTGTCTAAGTATTATATAAATTAAATAGTACGTCATAAATAAATTGTAAATAGTGTTTTTTAAAGAAATAAATTAGACTATCGTCCATGGGCGAAGTTATGTCATCAGATCTGGGGGGGCTAAAGCCCTAGCCCTAGTCATATAATATATAATAGTTCTAGAGGTATACCTACTGAAGTTAAGTAAAAAAATTCTGACGAATCTATGAAAATGGATAAAATATCATATATCGATTTTAAACAAAGTTTTGCAAAATTTCAATATAGTGAATTTGTAGATATCCATTTATGGTAAAAAACTAAATTTTACGACTTGCACTTGGAAAATAATGAATACTTCTGTTTTAATTTCGACATTAACACCATATAGATTGCAATTTGCTGGGGACTTTTTCGCAGATTTGTTTAACATAAACACTATCACATACTATAAGAAATAAACAAATTTAAAGCTAAAAAGTAAGAAAAACTCGAATTGTAATTGATACAAATTAAAATGTAAACAATGAACTCGTTGCCAAATGATGAACTGATTTTAAAACAAAATTAATAAATGAACTGAAATTAAAAAAAAAATTAATATATTAAATCGGTTTTATAAAAAAGTCCTTAAATAAATATAGAGTATGATTACATATTACTATATACAAATTTTGATTCTTAAATAAAAGGTCTTATCCACTTCTTCAAGAGCTAAAATCCGACGACGTAGCGAAATTTTGCTACTTCTGGCAACACTGAACGATATCCTACTTATAGGGACCTTCTACAAATTTCCTCCAGAGGGCGTATCACTTAGCTTCAATCGCGAATAAAGATCCTTCCAATTATATCTTCTCAAGGAAGTGTAGGATTTGGAGTGGCTTCAAGTTAGGTAAATCTCCCTCTTCTATTTGATATGCTCCTAGGTATAGTGCCCTTGGATTCTGAAGTGCTACACATTTAGTTAGAATGTGAATGAAGATTTTTTCTTCCTACTCACAAAATCTGCACTATCTTCTACTACTCTCAGTTTACTAAGGTGTCATTTTAGTTGGCAATGTCCAGTAAGGATCCCTGTTACAAGTGTTCTCACTACTAGAAAAATGTATCTGATGTGTCCAACACATGACTTTCCTATCTAGTTATATAAATGTTTAGAGGATAAACTAAATATATACATTGTCCACATACATCTACCTCGAAACATTTTTCTATAGATATTCAATTCTTTCAATTTTTTCTTTACGGTCCATTTTAGAAAAATCATGTATAAACAAAAATTATAGAGATCGATACCGCAAACAACTTTTATTTCAAAAACTTTCATAATAAAAATCAGAATTTTGCACATTTTGTCAAATTTCTCGAATACGGACCATTTCAGGAAATTTTTACATAAAACAAAAGTTACAGATAATAATATTAGAAGTAACTTTTATTTGAACAATTTTCCTCTCCAAACATAAATAACAGATATATTCCATAAAATATAAAAACGGCCTCCCATAAAGTACCCCCCCAGATGTTCCGACTTTGTCCAAAATCTAATCATTTCACGTCAGGCCGAAATAAACCTTAAGTTTAAAATTTAATGTTTTTTTCTTCATCCGTTTTTGAGTTTTCTTCAAAATTCGAAATTTACACATTTTCTCAAATATCTTGAATACGGTCCATTTTAGAGAAATTATGTAAAGAATAAAAATTATAGAGAATTATATTACAAACAACTTTTATTTGAACAATTTTTATAAAAAAATATTTTTTTTACATTTTGTCAAATTTCTCGAATACGGACCATTTTAGGAAAATTTTGTATAGAACAAAAATTATAGATAATAATATTAGAAGTAACTTTTATTTAAAGAATTTTCTTCTCCAAACGTAAATAACAGATATATTCCATAAAATATAAAAATGACCACCTATAAAGTACCCCCCCAAATGTTCCGACTCTGCCCAAAATCTAATCAGCTCATTAGACGCTGAAACAAAGCTTAAGTTTAAAATTTGGTGTTTTTCTGTGTATCGGTTCATGAGTTATGCGTTATACAGACACACACACAGACACACACACACACACACACACAGACACACACACACACACACACAGACATCATCGCGAAAATAGTCAAAACGGATTCAGGGGACCTCAAAACGTAAAAATCCGTCGAAAACTCGAGGTCGAAAAAAATCATGATTCCTATACTTTCCTTATATCTGTATACAGATAGGAAAGTAAAAATGTATATTATGACAACAGCTTAAAATACAATCTGGCTAATGTGGAACA